GCGTTTGAAACGTATCATTATTATGGCTTTTTTTTGTTTAAAGTGATAAATAAATAGGGTCTAAATTTTTCTTTAGGTGCTGCTGCCGAATTGTTGCAAGAATATGATAGAGCAATGAGTGCGTATGAATCAGCCTTGCGACATAATGCTTATTCTATTACTGCTTTACAGGGTATTGCCTCACTTTGTCGGGGAAGAGAACAGTTTCCAAGGGTAAAATGAATTTATATTACATGTATAATATTTATACATTAAAGAGATATGCATCAAATATAAGTATTCATATTTTATAAATCTATTTATTAATTAAATAATTTACATTTATTGGTTAAAAGGCTATTGAGTATTTTCAAAGAATTTTAAATATTGATGCAAGGAATGGTGATATTTGGGGATCTTTAGGTATTTTTTATTATATTAAATACATATGTTGTACAAACATGTGGCACGATCATATAATATTACATGTTATAATATAAAGGTCACTGCTATTTGATGATGGATGAGTTACAAAAGGCATACGGTGCATACCAACAAGCATTGTATCATTTACCCAATCCTAAGGTTATCTTAATTATAATCTTTTCAACCTTTGATTTAACAACCTTTCTATTTTGCATGATAATAACAAAAATATTAATCATATTTTGCTATTTGTATAATTAGGAACCTAAACTCTGGTATGGGATAGGAATACTTTATGACCGTTATGGCTCACTTGATCACGCCGAAGAAGCTTTTTCTCAAGTTATAAGAATGGATTCTAAATTTGAAAAAGCAAACGAAATCTATTTTAGATTGGGGATCATTTATAAACAACAACTAAAATACGAACAAAGTTTAGAAGTAAAATATTGTTTATTTATAAGAGCTTTTTTACTTATTTATTGAGCACGTGAATTGATGTTCATTGCACCGCTTTTATAGTGTTTCAAATATATTTTAAATAATCCGCCAAGACCTTTGACAGAAGTTGATATTTGGTTTCAAATCGGACATGTGTATGAACAACAAAAAAACGTGAGTCCTTGGCACGCAAGCAATCATAGCTATATCTAATATTGTATACATATATACATGCACATATATTAGATATATTATTAATCAAACAAAATCTTTAAATTAAAAAAAAGTTTACCACTGCCAAAGAAGCTTACGAACGCGTTCTAATAGATAATCCTACCCACGCAAAAGTATTACAACAACTTGGTTGGCTATATCATCAACAAAGTCCTTTCAGGAACCAAGATGTGGCAATCTCTTATTTAACTAGATCTTTAGAGTCAGGTTATTTATCACATTTAAGTCAAAATAAGATAGACCTGGAAAATTTGGCATTGATTGATTAGTAATTGTTTATTTTTAATTGTAGATGGCAATGATGCACAAGCTTGGTATTTCCTTGGACGTTGCTACATGGCTCAACAAAAATACGGCAGAGCGTACGAGGCTTACCAACAAGCAGTGTAAGTATTCATCATCATCATCATCATCATCACTACTACTACTACTACTACTATCATTAAATATATTTAAAATTGATTATATATTTAGTTTTCGTGATGGAAGAAATCCAACATTTTGGTGTTCTATTGGTGTTTTATACTATCAAATAAATCAAGTAAGTATAAATATTTATTATTTATTAAATTTGATAAATTTTCTTGGATCTTTAATTTACGAATGAATTTTTTTTTAAAGTATCGTGACGCGTTGGATGCTTATAGTCGAGCAATTCGTTTAAATCCATACATTAGTGAAGTATGGTACGATCTTGGCACATTATACGAATCGTGCAACAATCAAGTAAATGATGCGTTGGATGCATATCAGCGAGCTGCTGAATTAGATCCAGCAAACCCTCATATAAAACAAAGATTGCAGATGCTTAGAAATCAACAAACTCAAGGTGGCCAAACAACTGCGCCGATTCCTCAGGATATAAACCCTCAGGCTTTTCAACAACAAACAAATCCTAATTCAATGTTTGGAAATAATCCCGGACCATTATTAGGTTCTAGCTCCTCATCTTCAACTTTAATGTCGAGTTATGGAAATAGACAACAACCACCGCCACCACCGCCACCTTCTTCGTCTTCCAATAATAACAATAATATCTCACAACATCCTATGTCTTTACATGATGTTGGTCCTAGCCAACGTGATATGTCTCGTAAATTGCCACCGATGAATGCCAGTAACCTTAATAACAACAACAACAACAGCAACAACAACAATAATAATAACAACAGTAGCAGCAGAAGAAGTCCAACCAGTCATTATGCATTATCTCCACCTTCAACACAACTTACTTTGAATACTAATTCTTCCAACAATGTTACTAATTCTAATAATACCAATCCACTAACACCACAACAACCTTCATCGAATCATCATCACCATCATCATATTCATGATTCAACAAGATCTAATACACCACCACCTTTAGCCCTTTCACCAACACCAACTCAACCCACTCCGTTAATACCTCCAATATCAACTCATATTCGTGACTCAACAAGATCTAATTCTCCACCACCAACACAATTGCCGCCTCCAATACAAAGACCATCATCTCCCTCATTGGTGTCTCCATCATCTTCATCGCATCATCAGCAGCATCATCAGCATCATCATCATATTCGTGACTCTGCCATATCTATATCTCCGCCTCCACATCCCCCACAATCTCAACAACAACAACAAAATTTGCCACCTCCTACTACTGCTTCCAATACTACTTCTTCAATGGGATCTTCGTCTCCTCACATACGTGAACCAAACAGATCAAATTCACCAAGCCCTTCACCAACTCAACCATCACAACAAAGCTCTTCTTCTAGTAGTAATAATAATAACAACAACAACAACAACAATAATAATAATAATAACAATAATAATAATAATACAAACCATCATCTTAATCATCATCATAATCATCATCATCATCGTAGTGGTAGTGGTGATTTAAGAGTATCTAGTTCTCCACCCCCACCTTCATCACTTTCACAATTACCACCTCCGCCTACACAACGTTCATCCCCTCCTCCATTAGTGTCTCCATCATCGCAACAACATCATCACCATGTTAATGAAAGTGATTAATGAAAGCGATGACTAATCAAGTGATAATGATAACGATAGTGAGGTAAGTTGGAGAGATACAGATTTGGATTCTAATTGTAGTTATTTCGTGAAGATGGAGTGAATAATTATAAGCCTTCTGCACGTCATTCTGTTTACTTGAGAAATGAACCACGAACTAGGCAACAATTATCAATTATTTGATAAAAGAAAAATTATTATTATTATTATTGTCTTATTTTAGATATATTTAAGATAAAACTGTATTGTTATCTATAGCCAAGCATAAAGGTTATTAATAAATAAAATTATTGAACTGGTTTTCAATATTATTGTGATTTTATGTAGTACCTCAAGTATATTATATAGGTTGCTTTATATTTTATAATAATTTATTAATTTGGTTGTTGAATATCTTTTGGATATACTAACATCAATAAAGTGGTTCATTAATTGGCTCAGATCATCGATAACAATATATAACCAAATAAGTAAATTAACAAATAAAAAAATGGTCAAAATGGCCAGGCAGCAAAATCGGCCAAAACACTCAAATATCAACACTGAAATATGCTATTGATTGATGATCGATGATTTGAAATAATGCTTCAAGCTTCGTGAAACTAATTAAATCGATTAGAACAGTGCGCAACATATTAAAGGAATTTTATATAAGAAGGGAAGGATTGAAGGTGGAGTGAAAAAAAAAAAAAAAGAGAATATTAACCCGAAAAAAAGAACTTTATGACGTGAAATTCTTTTGATCCTCTCTCTAAATAGTTAATTATAATAATAATATTGAAATCAATTAAATTCTTTAGTATTCGTTTTTTTTTTTTCCTGTGTATATAAAAGAATCAAAACTTTCACATCTGAAAATTTGGAACTCACAATACTTTCTTACGAGTTGCTTATTTTTCGGCCGTAATAAACTAAATAATTGATTCTTATCTCTTAAATTTGCACTAGTTTCTCCCAAAGAAACTTTTTTTTTTTATTTTTCTAAAAATAGCTATTCTCTGAAGAAAGAAGGGTTTGTTTATCATCCTTTCTTTCTAAAAAGAAAATACATTTCTTACCTTTATCTTTAATCCTTTTCACTTCCTTGCCTAATTTCTTGGTAACTTTATATTTAGCTAAAATAATTTCATGCATGGAATCCACTCCCATTATACAAAAAAGAAAGTTTTGGTTTTATTCCTTTTTATTTCGCTTTATTCCTTCTCAGTGCAAGGAGGTCCGGATTTTAGTACATGTTTATGTTAGGATGGTAGGTTTTTATAACACTGTGGTTAAATTACTAACACTATACCCGACAAACAGTTATTTTGTTGCGATAAATGTGCTTTTACGTGTTTTGCAACAACGTTGGTAATATAAGTTTTGTGTCACAATTGGCGTGGAGGAATTGTAGGAGATACTACACCGGCTAATCTTGCAGTAGATATTTTGCCTGGCTTAGAGGCTTCAAGTTTTGTTATAGTAATGATTCACGCGTGTTACCAGTAAATGTGAATGTAAAAGCAGTTTGCAAATATCAACTATTAATATAACATGCTGTGCTTTAAGAATAATGGAAATTGGGTTTGCACTGGTAGCGTAGGAATTAGTATTAAAGATATTTCTCAACCTATGTACTATAAAGAAAGCATTGGGTTTTTATTTGTCCTCAAAAAGCCTTTACTTATATATTTGAGGGCGATGTTGATGGTGGTAGTGAGACTTATCATTTATTACTCATTATTTATTCATCATCTTTATTCAACGTTTATTTATTATATCATATTTATTTATTTTATAAATTTAATAAAGTACTATATCTTTTTAGATATAATTTATAGATTTCATCAATCATTCTTCATCATCAATGTTTAAATCTTTTTGATAAAATGAAAATAGTGACAGAAGACATCATGAAACTTTTCACTATTATGACGTACTGCTCTTTGAGGATACTTAAATTATCATTGATCGGTTTTATTATTAATGATATTATTATTTATTACTTACGCTTTTAAAAATAAAACTTTATTTGTTTCAATCCAATAATAATCGTATGGCGATTTTTCCTTTAAATTCCAACAAGCAGGATTATAACCTCTAACCAACTCAAGTGTTTCCTTAATTTCTTTAAAAATAAATCATTATGACATGTTTCTTCGAAAACTCATGGTTTCCATAAGCCATCAATTCAAATTTATATGATATGTTTTTATATTTCATCAATCTAAAACTTAATGAGTTTTCTTTGACCATTTTGTTGTTGTTGAGGAAATGACAATGATAAATTTTTTGTTGCCATTCATCATCAAGATGATATTGAAGAAGCTTTTCATAGTTTCTTTATCAAGTAATTCTTTATATGGTTGAAATTTTCAAATAGAATCTTATTATTATTTTCTTTTTCTTTGATTTGTTCTATTCCCCCGTTGATAACATAACTCCACACATCAATTTCTTTTTAATTCCAATCATCTTTTCTTTAATATGGTATGAATATAAAAGTAATGATTTTTCAATTAATACAATTTTCTCTTTTTTTTTTCTTACTCGTCATCTTTTTCAATATTATTAACAACAAGAGAATTTGTAATTAATTCTCCGCTTTCCATAAATCATTCCCTTAGAATAATCATAAAGAATACTAAATGATAAACGATTATTTGATGAAAATTTTCTTGATTCATCCTTCATCTGTAATATACTATTCTTGCAAGTCATCAATCCATTCATCAAAATTTCATTTGCATTTAGATTTTCTATTAATAACCCCATTGTACACACACACACACACACATATATATATATATACCTTATATAAAAATAAAGAAAATTATTTGTTTTTCGGGTAGATGAATAATAAAACAATAATCAAATTATTCAACAATGAAAAAAGTTAATCGCTTACGACAAAAGAACTCCATCATCATTGTTATTATTCTTAGATCTTTCTTAGTCCAATTATTGATAACGCTGCATTAAAATATGAGGACACTGCTTTTAAAATATTTGAATGAGCTTTAAAAATTTCTCGCCTTTATTTTTATTTCTACATTATAAGAATCTGGTTCGTCCAACAGTCCCGTTAACCTTGCCAATATGTTTTAAATGGTAATGAATAGTTTTCACTGCTACTTCAAGGTTAAAAAATGTTTGATATTTTGAAGAATATAACAAACCGTCTCAACCACCATCTAAAAATGATAGTGACCAAAATAACACAGGTAATATCAAAGAGAAAAAAGATGCTACTGAACGATTTGCTTAGTCAATAGGAATATGCCTATGAAAAAAAAAGCGCAAATATTACCAAATTGAATTTCGTTCAGAAAAATCTTGAAGAGCATCTTGATTTGCGAGAAGTCTTGAATATTCGAGGTAATAACTTTGTCAGTATTGACCAGGTTGAAATAGTTTTCCTAAATTGTAAGATTGTGTTTAAGTCTTGATGTAACAAATTATCCCGAGTTAAAAATCCTTGCAGTTTAATTATACTGAAATAAACTTTCTAAATCTTGGCTAATGTCCAATATTAGATGTTTTGACTGCCTCCTTTACTCCTATTGAAAAATTTTTGCGCCAGAGTTGGGGATCTTGCAATTTTCCTGCTGTCATGAGTTTAAGTAGCTGGAGGCTCAAATTATATTTATTCATTGCAAAATTAAAGCAAAAGATTGATTGTTCACATTTAGATTCGCTTGATGTAGAAGGCTGACCATTGATAACTAACTTAGATCTTAGTATTAATCATCAATTAACTCCTCGGGAATAGGATAACCAATTTAGATTCATCCAAGGCTAAAGATTTTATTTTGACTCGGTTTACCATCATGTATCATGTTATTGCTTCATTATTAATGAAATCAAGAAAAGATAATCGACTTGAAAAAGTTATTATTAATTATTATTATTGATTTAGTCGAAATATGGTAGTAAACCCCAATAATAATAATGTCTAGCAATTTTGGCCCCTGAAATTTCTATTTTTTTTATTGCTTCATGATGATGATAGTATTAGTATCAAAATCGTTCTTTTGCATAATCCAATAAAATTGGATTTTTTGTGTGATAACTTGGAATAAAAATTTCTTAAATCACCATCATCTTCGTTTTTTTTTATCTTTTTTTGAAAATAAACTAGCGGTGGTGGGTGACGCACGCATGAACTTTTTTGATAAGCAAACTTTGTAGCAATCAATTGTTACTGGTAAAATTTCCCAAATTTTTAAATAAAATTTCAAAAAATTTTTTTTTTACATATTACCCCTTTATTCATTTTATACATATACACACCCTTTCTCTTGTACATAATATATTTTTTTTTCTTGTCGTTAATAAATCTTTTTGTCAGTTTCTTTAGTGTTAATAGCTGCTGCCGGTCAATAACCGTTATCATTAACCGCAATCGATAGTTGCTTTATATCAAATATTTTCAAAACAATATAAATAAAACATATTAATTTTGCAAAAGATCTCGAGTATTTATAAATGTCTAACAACAATTCATTGCCTTGTATTCAAAAGTTAAATCAATTAAATGAATCAGCATGGCTTGCGATGGGTAAATATAATAAACCACACTTTAAAAAAGCGTTTGAAACGTATCATTATTATGGCTTTTTTTTGTTTAAAGTGATAAATAAATAGGGTCTAAATTTTTCTTTAGG